GTGTGTGTGTGTGTGTGTGTGTGTGTGTGTGTGTGTGTGTGTGTGTGAGAGAGAGAGAGAGAGAGAGAGAGAGAGAGAGAGAGAGAGAGAGAAACCTGTCCATGGATGCATTGGCTGCAGCACATCTCCAATGACTTTTGCGACATCCTTGCCTCTCGATGCCAGAGTCTCCTCTCCTGCTGACTCCCAGGCAGAAGCTAGGCAATTAATTACTGGTATAAGTGGTGGACCTGAAGTGGACCTGTCCTCTAAAAACACCAACACCCGCATTAACCCACCCGTGGAACACGGATGAAAAGAATGTCAAAACACGGACGACAACAACAACAGTGGAAAGGGTTGAAAAAAAAGGGACAAATTTCCGACAAAAAAAAAAAGAGCAAAAGCTGCCTCTCCAGACCTGGCATACAGCTTAGTCATCCACATTCAGACATCCCCATCAGGATCCCGACCACTCAGGCCTCTCATTCTTTTAAGGGTATCCGGACCTCTGTTTTGTTCACTGTGTGATTTGTCCATATCTGAGACACATGGCCCGGCAGTACTACCCGGGGCCTGGTCCCATGAGCAAAGAGGATTGGAGTAAATTCCTGAATCCTTTCCATTTCTCTTGTAGGACGATGCAATTTCGACCTTTTTTTATTTGGCTTTGTATTTGTCGGCTTTTAGACCCTGTATACCTGTAGTTTTACTTTGGCTTTGGCTCTTTTCGAGTAACCAGCTAGGCTACCAGCCGGGCCGCCCGGGTCACCCTATTTTCCCGGACGGCCCGGCCGTGCAAGGACCAGGGAAGGTCATCGCAAAAAAAAACAGAAAAAAAAAATCAAAAAAATCCGGAAAAAAACTACGTTATGCAGAAAAATAAACTGAACAATTTTTTTATTTTTTTGGGCTTGGCCGGGCAAATGGCCCCGGGCCACTCTGGTAGCCTAGGTAACCAGGCCTTTCGTTTTTTTTCCCGGACCATTTCTTGATTTACAAGTGTCATGCTTGTGCAGGGGCCATGCTAATCTTTTTTTTTTTTTTTGTTAAATGTATCACTTCAATTTTAACGGATGTCCCGAAGGACTAGTAGGGCTGTTTTGATTCAGCAGTACCTACGATCTGACCCCTCGAGCCCGGGTCGAGTTTTGACAATTGTTGTTTTTGCTCTTCAGAGTAGTGTAGGCCTACGCTTTAGATATTTCCGACGGGCCGCGTTTGGTTGTTGGCGCATCCGCAGAGGCGTAGGGAATTACGACTACGTTCTTCCCCCAAATAAAACGTACGGTTATTACCATGTGTGTGGTTCCGGACGGTCCGGACCGGTAAACAGGTCCGGAAATGTCCGGACCATTAATAAATAATAAAAAATCTGAGAAACAAATGCAGAATAACAATACAAACCACTTTTGCCTCAGAGTCATGTCAGAATTCCTAAACCAAACTTGAGTAAGAACTTAAAAGTAAAAAACTATAAAAAAACATGGGTATGTCGAATAAATTATTATAGAGATAGACCATGTCTGGACCCCCTCCAAAAAACAAAAACAGGCCTGAAAAGCCCCCAAGCCAATTTTGGGGGCTCGGCTCCTCAGTGGGGAAGGGCCTTATGGTCCTGGCTCCTTTCCAATTTGGGGAACATCAGTCCGGTTCCTGTTTCACCGGCAAGTCAGAATAAAATTTACAACAAAAACGCACCCACCCTTCCTTCCATCTGGCCGAAGGACCCCTGAGCAGCATTGATTGCTCCATCTGGCTGCAGGATCGACTGTCAGCTTGCCGTGTCTCACTCTTTCCTCTCAGATCCGATAGCCAGATCTGTCAGATAGATCTATATCACCTAGAAAGAGCTCGTGCCGTGATCCAACTAGTCCTTATACCCCATATTACCAAACCTACCCATGAGACCCACAACCCTTTGCCCCACCTTACCTTCCCATTTGGGTACAGTTTCAAAAACCCTAAACCCTAAGCCCTCATCCAGAGACTCTTCGACACCCGCCTAAGCTGGACCCCCTTTTTCACCTTGAACAGATATAAAGCACTCTTTACTTTTGTCCTGACTCCATGCTAGCCCCCATTATTCCTAGTCAGTGTTCCTTTACATCATCTCCCGTTGCTCCTTCCAATCAAGCCTGGGAAACTTCCTCGTGATGCACTCGGTCGTGTCTTAACTCCGCCGCCTTGCCATTCAGCAGCCATCGCCTAAAAAAATTCTTCCTTATACCTTCCTGCTGCTCCATGTCTTCAGGGAGCGATTGCCTTAACCTTCGCCACTTGCATCACACTTCTGCTTGTATCAGAAGTCTCGTTTCCGCCCATACTTTTTATCTTGGATTGGACAGTCCTTCGATTGTTCGGCTGCACCTTTCTTTCCAAATGATCCATAGCGTCACCTTTCTGATCATGCCGAAGCAGAGTTTTTCTGCCTTTTGAAGTCGATCAGGGATGTTAGTCCAGCGAAGAATTTGGACGGGGTGATCGGGGAGGGAAGTATGGAAGAGAGAGTCGCTTCGGTACAACAGAGTAAGCAGTGGACTAGATCTTCTTGTGCACCACTGGTACAAATTGTGCAGAGATCGGAGCTAGCCGGGTCATTCTTTTGACGTCGTATATGAAGCCATTGATTCACCGGTAGTGCGGCATAAGTGATGAGCCACTGAAGACTCCTGATTTTGACAGGTTTAATCGCCTTAAAATTCCTCCACGGGATCTGCTTGATACTTTCCGCTTCCTGGCCTAACAATTTTCGCCATCTGTTCTTGATTACAGGGTCGGGATCCTTTGTTTGGACTAAGAGCTTGTACCCGAGTCTGACTGTATACGCATAAATAGGGATCTTGACCTTAATATTCTTTTGTTTGTCTGCTTTCCAAGCCCATTCTGCTGGGTCAAACTCTAAGTTTCGTACTGCTATCTCCGGTCTGAAGATGACCTTGGGCCACGACCCTATTACTCGCACTTTCCTCAATCGGAAGAAGTCCAGCAGTACCGATTCCACATCTTTGTTTAAAATAGAAACCATCCCGTGCCCGGCTGCCGAGGTCGGAAATGAGGTGAAGGAGGCTGTGTTGTTCGATCCTGGTACCATGTGGGAAAACTGACATGCCCGTGTTGGTATTAACTCCTGTACCTTAACTCCCCATTCCCCCGTCCTCCATGGTAACGCTTCTTTCAAGATATCTTTCCGGCCTTGTGGAATAAGATTGATAATTAACTGAAGGTTTGTACCTCGCTTGTGGCACCCCTTCAGCTTTGTGCTCAGCTCTTGTTCAGTCATCCATTCTTTCCTGTCTTCATTCCAGATGTGACTGATTTTCCACACCCCATTTTCCACCCAAGACAGCCATCGGTGGTCCAGTTGCACCAGGTTATCCCCCTCATCCTTTACCCATTGGTTGTCGAATAGTGGTTGTCTTAAAACCTCATCTTTAGACTGTGGCAGCCTGATTTTTGTTGGCATCATGTCCCTCCAAAGCTGGATCAGGGCTGCCCAATAAGGGTTGTGCTGAGTCGCTTCATTGGTTCCAATTCCTGCTCTGCGCCTTCTCCGCCCTGACTTGGGACTCCACCCCTTGGTCATCACCCAAAACAATCCTGTCATATCTTCTGGTGAAGCTATAGGGGCCAGCGCTCTGATGCTGTCCAGGGCCAGAGACTATTCCAAGAAGTATCCGGTCTCATCAGGAGCTTGATTATCCACTTAGCCTGCAGGGCCCTTGTTTCTTGTCTCAGGTCTATGATCCCTAAGCCCCCGCACACCGGTTTCCGCATTATGTATTTCCAGGCTATCTTAGGAATGCAGCCCTCCTTGTTAAGGATTGCCCGTCCATAAATTGGATCTGGCCTTACGGTTAAGTGACTTGATTGAACTGTCCGGAATTGTCCAGATAGAAGATATATACCACATCATGGAGAACAATGAGGTATTAAGGACCATCGCTCGACAAAACAGCGATGTGAACGTGTCCCCCCATCTTCCTAGCTTGTTGATCTGTTTTGTCAGTATATTTTGGGCCATTTGGGGTGCCAGACCCTCCCTCGTCATCAAAATTCCAAGGTACCAGGTCTGGGTCTCTGGCGTCTCCCACTTCATAACAGGACCTTTTTTCTTTTTTCCCCCTCGAAATTTGTCAGATCCGTCGGCTTGCGGACCAGACGCCTGGAGTCCGCAGACTGAATCCAGACCGTCTGGACGGCGGTCCTCCGGATCGTAGCCATGGTTATTATAGCCGTATTTCTGGTATGTTTCAGTCTAAATACACCTATAATGACCGTACATTGCATGGTACCGTCCGGACGTCTGGACCCAGGTTCCAGACAGTCCGGTGTCGGGTGTCCGGTGTTCGGTCCTTATGTCCGGATGGAGGCCCGAGCAATTTCAAAGCGGTCGTTTCGACGTGGCGCCCGCAGCTGCTGCGTGTT